TCAGTAATGCTTCTAATTTCTCATATACTCCTGTGATCTGCATAAAACTGTGTTTGTGTTTATTATGTGGTGTAAACCTAGAGATTATATGTTAACATATGAAAAAGGGATCAAAAACATCTCTTCTGCACTTTCCTTAAAAAACAAAGTTCTAAAAAATAAACCTTCATGGGTATTTTTTACTGCTCTTTTCCATTAATCTCTATTCCATTATAACTAAAGCTTTGCAGTTGCAATGAAAATGTTTTCAGGTCAGCAAGAATAAAGCAATGAGTCAGGATCAGGGGCAAGGAGCTTATCTTACTGGGTCAACACTGACTGACTGACTTAATGTAGTTCTACTTACAACCACCATTGATTGATAATTGGGCAAGGTTCCTTTCACACATATGGTGAAGAACTTGCCTTATTTACAGGCAGAATAAGTGGCTACGTTTATGGTGTCATTTGAGGGCCCCAGAGAAGGACTCTTGTCAAAAATCTGCATGCCTGAAATTCCTCCTTTACGGAAATTAATTTCTTTCTGGTAAGCAGTGCCCTCTTTCTAAAAAATGCAGAAGTACCACATGAAATCTCTAACACCTGGATTTGCAGTTGTTATCAGATTATCTTCCTGCTTGACTTCATTAAACTGGATGGGGTGCCTAAGTCCTGTAAGAGTATGACCTAATTAATTTCTGCCCTTGGAAATCTGATGGAAGGTTCTGGTTTCCTCTGCTCCTACTTGCTAACACTATAAGCTTGTTCGTAATTGTTATTTAAAACAACTGTTGTCAGTAGACATCAGATTTAGATTTGTGGTTTCAGAAAAAGTTTTCTTAGGGGCAATTTAAAGCATATGTTTGGTACTAGAGATAGTTAAATTTACATTTTCTAAAACTTGATTTGGGGGTGTGCTTTTGGTAGTTTTGAGCTTTCTTTAAATGGCTTGTGTAGTTGTGAACTTCCGCTAATGGTGTGGCTCCAAAAGGGGATATATATCAACACTAGACTTTACATTTCTGTAAAACTGGTTTATTTAAGTGGGGGTGTCAATATTGTATTAGCATTGTTTTAAGATGGACATTGTAATAAGTGGGGAAAAACAAATAAATATTAAAGTTTCAAATGACTGTGTAACTTTATATTCTAAAAACAATACTTCTGACGACTATAACTGAGAACCCATTTTAATCCCCCAATTTAAATTATTTTCAAGTCACAAAGCTCCCAAATATTTTACTATTTTCTTCACTCTGGGTAAAAATTACATCTTTACTCTCCTAAGCATAAAATTTTAGAGATAACTTGATAAAAGTACCAGATAAAAAAGCCGAGAGAGCCTTTTAGAAGTGGATAAAACTAGAGCTCTAGAAACTTGCATTTTCTTTGTTCTAATTAATCCCAAGGTGAGTTAAGGATCTAATATAAAATAATTCCCTAGTTTTATAGGGCATCAGCCTCTCATCCAGAGTTAGAGAATTGAGATTAAAATTCATGGCCTTGTTTTGATTTTTTTGGAGGGGATGGTCTTTTTTAACAGATTATCCTTGTCAGGACTAACCTTACAAGTAGGCCTCAATATCCACACTTTTGCACTGCCTACCGTGGGGCTAGAAATGTTACCATGAAAGATTTCTTATCTTTGGAGAGGGTCCTAATTGTGGTTAGAGGTGAGACACATGAAAAACAAATTTTGTATACTTCTCAATTTTGCTCATGGTCTGCCCTGACCCAGGCTGAGAATGATGGACCATAATAATATGCTACAAAGCAGGAAAACAAAGTCATGAACTTAGTTATAACCAAAATGTCCAATGGGCAAGTGTTTGTCATTGATGTTGAAAGCATCACAAAACATTTAACACTGGCATCTCTACTGAAAATAGCAAATGTGGGCCTCATAGAGACAATTGCATTGTTTAAAAAACAACTGTCAGGTCTCATGGTTAAACAGAATGCCATTGTAGGTACAAATGTGCTTAACTCCCACCTCTACTGCTCCACTATTATGGTGACTCAGTGACCCTCTATCACTGTGTCAGCTTCTCCTCTCACCTCTGGGGAACTTCACAGACCTCTGTTCCACTTATTACCTTTCCTACATGGGCCTGCTGGCTTCTGTGCTACTCTGATCATGTCCCTGTCTGTTCCATACTCATTTCTCTCACTGGGAGAGGCCCTTATTGGCTCAATTCATCAAATTCAGTCTAGAATGCAGTTACCCTGCCAGGTCACTTCACAGGCCTCTGGACAACCTTTGGATCAGGGTGGCTGGGCCGCATGGGACCTTTTGACCACCTACTCAGAGGGGCCTGTGGATTACAACAGGCACTCAGAGTGTCATGTCCAGAGCTCTGTAGCTATTATCACCTATACTGAAACCTCACTTAGGAATGAAATGGGAGCCCAATAACACTTTGCTGAAAACCGATATACACTATTTTTGTTGCAGAAAAGTTGCAAAAAGCAGACCGTCAAGAAACCAAGCAGCACTTGGAGCTGGAGAACTCAGCCTTGTTGCAGAAAAGTTGCAAAAATCAGACCAGCGAGAAACCAAGCAGCACTTAGAGAGTTGGAGAACTTAGCCAGTGGTCCCAGAGGAGCTAGCACTCTGAAGATCTGAGCCAGGAGCTCAGTTGCAACATCGCTTACATAGAGCTTACTTGGCATGGGCTAACTGCTTAATTTGTCCTCAGATGGTTACAAAGCCCGGGAGTTGCTATGGGTTGCAGGCAGTTATAGGCAGTTACAAAGAGCGGGAGTTGCTATGGGTTGTAGGCAGTTACAAAAAGTTACAAAGAGCGGGAGTTGCTATGGGTTGTAGGCAGTTACAAAAAGTTACAAAGAGCGGGAGTTGCTATGGGTTGTAGGCAGTTACAAAAAGTTACAAAGAGCGGGAGTTGCTATGGGTTGCAGGCAGTTACAAAGAGTTACAAAGAGCGGGAGTTGCTAGGGGGTACAGGCAGTTACATTTGTTGCATAGACGGAGCAAGCCAACGGTCGGATGAGATTTTAGTTACTTTTGAGTAAGGCCTATGCAGCAAGCATATCTACGGAAGCAGAACAAAGAGCCGATTAGCTTTTTGAGAGCAAATTTCTCTTCATTTTTGCATCCAGGAAGAACTATTTAGCAATGCTTAAATGAACTTACTAAAACTCATGTTACCTATATTATAAAAATGCATGCAAATTCAGTCCTCCAATAGTTCCCAGCACAAGAACTTCATTAAAAAAATGTAACTGAAAAAAAAATCTACCAAAAAACTAAGATACTATTTAAAAATTGTTGTTATGGTGGAAACCATATTCACACAGCTGGTATTTGGGGAGTTAGAATTTTCTAGAACCCATACTCAACTGCTAAGTTAGAAGCAAAGGAACAGTAGAAATCATTTCTTCTTGGATGCTCTTCCCCATCCTCAAGTCTGGGTTATGAACTTTATATTTACACATAATGTGTTATTTTTAAAGGAATTAATACTTCTAAGTGCTTGGCACTTAGCAGGAACTCAATGAATATCCGTCCAATTAAAAATTATAGATGTCTTCCTTTTTAGTGACATGTGTACTTTCTGGAAAAAAGTTGAGGTGAAAAGCATTCCGTGTTTTTTGAAAAATAACAAAAACTGTAAGGTTATAACTGATGATCGGATAAAGATGTTACATCTATACAGTGGAAAATTACTCAGCCATAAAGACGAAATAACGCCATTTGCGACAACATGGATAGATCTTGAGATAATCACGCTAAGCGAAGTACGACAGAAAAAACTGAGAACCATACGATTTCACTCGTATGTGGCATATAAAGTGAAAGCAACAAACAAGACAAACAAAAACTCCGACACATACAACTTTAGCGGTTACCAGAGAAAAGCTGGAGGGGGAAAGGAGGTAGAGAAGGGTAAAGGGGTCAAATATATGGTGGCAGAATATTTGATTTTGTTGAACACACAATGCAATATACACATGATGTATTATTAAAATGTACACTTCAAATCTGTATAATTTTATTAACCAAGGTCACCCCAATAAATTTTTTAAAAACAACAAAATAAACCAGTAAAGCTTGTCTATTTATGTTTCAGATTTGGAGCTTAAGCACCTATGAATCACGGAGTACAAGCAAAACAGCAGGCAACTAACTGCTGCCGTCTCTCCCTTTCCACACAGTCCATCTCCAGCCTGAGGAACCGAGGAAGGTACCAGAGAGCTAAAGCAGGTGCCTGAAGAACAGAAAAGGTTGGTCTTTCCACCCACCGTACCGTCTTTAGTTCGCTCACTCACTCACGAGACATCAGAACCCATGCTAGGAGCTTAGGGTACCAAGATGAACCAGAGCCGGTGCCTACCCTAAGGAACCGAAAGAAAGAAGACACATTTCCCACGTGGAGGAGGGACCCTTGGAGGTGGGGCCTTTGGGCAAAGGAGGAGCGGCCTCTTCTCAGCAAGACAAACCTGTTTCACCCGCCCCATTCACCCCCCCTAAAATGGCGGCGTCGGGACCCCGCCCGCCAGGTGCAAATATTCCCACGCCTTCGGGCTGCCGCTCGGCCCCGCTCCTGCCCTGCCCGCCTCGGGCCGGATTCTCACACTCCTGGCCAGCCCGCGTGGGCGCCGGTTCATGGCTGCCGCGCGCCCCCTAGCGCCCCGCCCCTTGGGCTCCGCGCCGCATGTCTGCGTCGGCATTTGTTGACGCCATTGTAGGCGTGTCGGCGCGACCTGCGACGTCTCGACGTGCCGTCAATGGCGACTGCGTCCGTCTGAGCGGGCCTCTGTTTTCAAGTCATTTCCTGCCGCTGCCGCGGGAGCTGCTTTCGCCTCAGTACCGGGCGGCGACGGC